CAATCAAGGTCAACGAAGATCCGAAGGAAGGCAAAATCGTACGTCAGGAACAAGAAAGCAGTGGAGAGACAACGATAGCCCCTATGACCAACGTTTGAGAGAAAGGAACGGCGACGATTAAGGCTAACCTTGTGGCAGTAGTTGTTGTTGTTTTAGATTTAGCTACTCAGAACGAAATGTCCATGTAGCACAGGCCATAGTGAGCCCGTAATTGAGTTCGGTTATTCGCGATAACCTTGTTATTGTGATATTTGGGTCAAAGTTTTAAATGGAGGTGGGTGGTTTCCTCCTTTTCTCCCGTTACTTTTCCACCTCAGTTTTAGTCGATAACCTTGTTATTGTGATATTTGGTTGTCAAAGTTTTAAATGGAGGATATCCTTGTTACTGTGTGGGTTTCCTCCTTTTCTCCCGTTACTTTTCCACCTCAGTTTTAGTCTATTGTTTTATTAACATCATCTAGGTGGCGGATATAGGGGCAGAATGTTCACTAGTGTGTCCCATTCTTCAACTGCTTTTCTAACCATTGTAGTCGCTGTGGATTTTGCATTTAATGCAGCTGTTCTTGTTGGATGAATGTTGAGTTTGATGCGCAGGGCTTCAGTTGTTTCACATTCCAGTAAGTAATGTAATAGCGGTGCCTCTGCATCTGTTCCACAGATGTGACACTCTTTAATTATTGGGTTTACTACCTCCCAGCAGCACTTGTAGCCAAGTCTGAGTCTATGTAAGGCTACTGCAATATCTCTGGATATCTTTTTGTCAGGCTTGTAAGAGAAGTACCCAGTGGCTTGTTCGTACCACATCGCGGTGGATCTTCTTTCCGCTACTTTAGCTCTGTGACGACTTTTATTGGGGATTATTTTCTTCTTGATTTGCTCTTTAAAATGTGAAAAAATTCTTGGAGGTATTTTAACCTGTACAACAAGTAGGGTAGGGGGAGTTTTTGCTAACGAGTCTGTCTTTTCGTAAACTTTTACCAGTCTCCATGGTGTAGTGGTAAGACACTCGCCAGGCGTTCCACGAGCGCTTTGTCATAGGTTCGTATCCTGGCCGAGGAGGATTTACTGGGCGCAAATCCTTAACTGTAGCCTCTGTTTAACTCAACAGTAAAATGGGTATTTGGTTGTAAAAACGATTCTTCGCGGCGGGGGTAGTATTCAAGGGACTTGCCCGAAACGCTATGCGTACTAGTGGCAGTACTAGAATGTAAGAATTCTTGTATAAATAAATAAATAAAATAAAAATGACTTGGTATACAATTTAGAGTGATTGACACCCCTAGATTGTGTACTTCTTTTCCTATATGTAAGATTTCTGTGATTTTAATATTTTCTCTGTGCTGGCTGGATAACAAGGATTGGAGCGAAGACTTAGGGTAAGTATGAATAATGACATGTTTTAAATTATTCTTGTGAAAACCGTAGATAATTTAATTCGTTGTGTTGGGGACAGGTAGCCAGTTTATATATGCAGTACATGTTAGGCTTATACAGAACGAGGTCTCCCCTCCCCCTTAAGGTTGAATTTCTGTCCCTCCTCAGGATACAACCCCACAACAAGCTGACTAACTCCTGAGTACCTATTTACCGCTAGGTGGACAGGGGCATTAGGTGATAGGAAACGAATCCCGGGCGGGACAGAAATGGTTGGGCTCGTCTCCTATCACCTGATGCCCCTGTCCACCTAGCAGTAAATAGATACCCAGGAATTAGCGAGCTTGTTGTGAGGATGACTCGGAATTCTCGATTGTGAGTCGAGAATGAACCCGACTGAACTATCCTGGGACCATTAGGCTATGTTAGGTCCGGTTGCTGTTGGTAGGTTTGAAAATTCGATGGAGAGTCGTCTTGTGTACGATGAGACGTTTTCTCTTTCTTTCAACTGATGTCTATCTTTACCTTGCGATAAATAAGTACCTGGGAATTAGGCAACTGTTGTGGGTTGCACCATGGAGAAGGTCAGTCGTTGGTATAGGGGATGACCCAGATAAACTAAGAGCCTTCCTGTCCCCTACAATGGGAAGCGGAAACTCTTGCTTAATACTTATCTTACGTGGGTAAAATGACATGGCGATGTGGATGATGTGAGCATCACTCATCTACTCATACGATCTCTTAGGATAAGCATCGCTGGATCTTGACGGTAAATGGATGTGTAACCGTGTGGAGAGTCTCGTGGCCATTGCCAAGGGCGAGACGCCACACGGATTCGGGGGAAAAAATCGATTCCTATAGTCTGAGTTAAAATTTATCGTCTGTTCTAATCAGTTTTCTTTTAACAGCAATAGAAAACTTATGCTCCAGGGTACACTAAAGACTTATGCTCCAGGGTACACTAAAGACTTATGTTCGAGGGTCCACTAAAGTAAATAGTTCTCATTTTTTTGTGCTGCTGCCATTATTTTATTTAATTCATCACCAGAAAAAAAATAACAGTTCGTTTTTTGGGGGGACAGAACGTTTTAGGTTTTAGGCTCTAAGGAACAACAGAGTAGAGTGGCTCTAAGGAACAATTGTGTAGAGCGGCTCTAAGGAACACAGTGTAGATCAGTGGGATTCTTGAACAACTCATTACTAAATCTCTTCCTCTTGCTATAGGTACGTTACAAACCAACTATTTTCAACGTACTCTGATCCTGCCAATAAGCTATGTTTCACATTTCTCAAACCAATCCTAAATGATTTTGAAATGATGAATTAACTAATCAAAAAGAGGAAGGTAAGGTAATTATCAGGAAAAAGCGCCAAGCTATTGCGACTATATAGCCCTTGGAAAGGATAAGGATTTAGGATAGGGCTGGTGGGCAGACTGGTGGGCAGACTTAGCCACACACAGCCACCATGTTTCAGAACTTCCATCAGTTCTAGCTAACCAGTCTAAGCTTAGCGAACCTGAATGTATGCGTCGTCTACTGTTAACAAGTGAGTGCGCCAACACTTGTGAGGGACACATTCCAATATCTGGATCATCATTTTGGACTAAGGCAATAACTGTCAGGAACGCTGCTGGAGAGCACAGGCTCAATAACCTCACTGAGATTACAGTACATTGAAAATATACAGCTTACCAATCAGTAAAATATCTGGTTGCCCTGGATTTTAGAGAGTTATTTACTCTCTAAAATACTCTGGTTTCGAGTATTTCAGAGAGTAACGTCTGGGAAAACTAAACTGAGAAATCGAATGGGACTATAACTTTTGACATCAATCTTGAGAATCAAAATATATCTTGAACAAAAAACAAACAAACTTGTTGCTGCTCATCATTTGACACCACGCATGTCAGTGATAAAATGTGAGTCTGCAATATACAAGAATGAGGTTGTAGATACAGACGGACAAACTCTTGTTGATAGTCTTCAACTGTGAAGACGTGGTGGAACTCTACATATATTATAAAAAACGTAATAATTGGATAACTTACTAATACTTGCTGCATGAAACATAATTTACCAGGTAAATTATGCTTCATGCAGCAAATATTTATTTTATCCAATTATCACGTTTTTTTTTGTAATATGTACATGCAGTGATAATATTAATACAATCATGCAGTGTTACTCTATGTATTAAAACATATTGTTCTGAAAACCGTATCAGCTGCTAAACAAAATATTGGGCTACTTTTCGCTACTTTTAGACCAGCAGCTCGCTACTTTCAGCAATTCGGATCTGGTATCTATTTACTGCTAGGTGAACATGTGGATGTGTGTTTTATTTCAAGTCTAAACATTATAACTTTACATTTACTGATGAAATATAAGTTAATTTCAAAATTGTATTTCTTGGTTTATTAATTACAAATTTTGATTAATTATGTTTGTCTTAAGCTAATTAAATTTAATATATATATATTTTATAATTAGCAAGCTTATGTGCATCAAATATATATATATATATATATATATATATATATATATATAAACAAAATGTTCTAATACACATATCAGCTTGCATGCGGCTAATCATTCTATTTGAAACCATTTAAAAACAGATCCTCTAACCCCGCCACTTTGAACTCCGATATGATGTTACTTTACTTCTTACTTTTACGTTCGAAATGTAACATGTAATACGTGGTGAATGCCTCACAGTACCTTAAGCACCGTATCTATGAGCATTTGGTTATCTCCAAATGTACAGTTATGCACCGTAGCCTAAGGTACACGTCCTCTGTAATTAGGTGATCACAGTGAAGCCACACTCGCCTTCCTCGCACTCTCAACCATTCTACTGTTCTGACTTGCGAGTGTCATTGACTACAGATCTCGAACATCTTCGAAGCTATTTTCCGTCGTCTTAATGAGTCCGTGGTTGAACAGCTCAGAGTCGTCGATATAATTGCTCACTCACCAATTTTCGTCTTCTCGAAGTATGTCGTTAGGTGTTTCTTCCATTTTTATTTTGTAATTTGTATGTATTTTCAATTTGTTTAATTTAATATATTTTGTTTTTTGTTTTTATTGCTGCAGACTTTTAAGTGATATTAATTCTCATAAATCTTTGAACTTTTTATTAATGATTAATAGCAAATTTTTGCCGAGTAATTCAGCTATTTTTTATGTATACGTTTTCTGGTTTATTGACAATATGTCTCCAACAATTTTCCTTACTTTTCTCAGCTATAATTCAGCATGTTAGTATTATATACATGTTGATACATAATAAATCTTTAATATTTTATTGTTCCCTAAATGTTCTCATTGGACATCATTATGTTTCTTTTATTATGTGATGCTTGCAGCTGAATTTATACAATTATTTCACTTACATATCTGACATTCTTATTGATATAAAATGCATCGAGAATATTTTATATTATAATTAGGAGCTGCCTCCTAATTAAGGCAAGCCTATGCCTCTCATTAGCTTGGTGTTTCCCCCTGATAGTTCCCTTCCCCTTCGTATGGGCTAATTGGCCTTCTGCAGTTTCCTTAATTCTTCTGTTCTTGTGCCAGTTTAACACTGAGATGGGGGAAAGGATAAGTGAAAATCCTAAATAAGATTTGAACATCTATTTGAGATAAAATTGCACATTTGTTTTTATACAGAAATGAAGAGCAAATAATTTTATTTACACACAGATAAAGCTTTGATACATATACATACACACACTGCAATAAATATCATGATACATGGAATGAATCAATCTGAGGAAACAACATATACCATTATGTATTCATGCATTGACCTAAATCTAACGACTTAGAAGAAATACAAGCACACTTAGGCTCCATTATGTGTGCGTCAGCCTGCAGGCTCCGGAGCCCCGGTACCTGACGGGAGAGCCCCGGTACCTGACGGAGGAGCCCCGGTACCTGACGGAGGAGCCCCGGTACCTGACGGGGGAGCCCTGGTACCTGACGGAGGAGCCCCGGTACCTGACGGTGGAGCCCTGGTACCTGACGGAGGAGCCCCGGTACCTGACGGAGGAGCCCCGGTACCTGACGGGGGAGCCCTGGTACCTGACGGAGGAGCCCCGGTATGGCACCAGGAATCACAGACGTGACTCGCTGTGAAATCATCACGAATATTTTGTTATTCACTATGAGAGAAGGAACTCAACTGTATGTTTTTGATATAACATACATTGGTGTGTCTGTAGGTGGGTGTATGTAGATGGGGGCAGATGTAGGTGGGTGTATGTAGATGGGGGCAGATGTAGGTGGGTGTATGTAGATGGGGGCAGATGTAGGTGGGTGTATGTAGATGGGGCAGATGTAGGTGGGTGTATGTAGATGGGGGTGTAGATGGGGGCAGATGTAGGTGGGTGTATGTAGATGGGGGCAGATGTAGGTGGGTGTATGTAGATGGGGGCAGATGTAGGTGGGTGTATGTAGATGGGGGCAGATGTAGGTGGGTGGGGGTTTTAGAGAATGTGTGTGTATATAGGCGAGTGGGTGGGGTGTGTATATGTATGTTTGTCGGTATGTTTGCATAAGTATGTTTGTAGGTTGGTGTATGTACAAGTTTGTTTGTAGGTGGGAGTGTGCATGTGTGTGTGTGTGTGCGTGCGTGTGTGAGTGTGTGCGTGTGTGTGTGTGTGTATAGCTTATGACTATAGACTTGGGCACCAGTACACACAGAGGTATTGGCGTGGACAGATTATGTGAAGACTAATGAGATCACTCTAAACACGACTCGCCTGCGTTACTAACACAACATAAACATCTATAATCGGGACAACCCCGATGATAAAAGAAAAAAAAAATCTTCTTTGTGATAGATACGAAGCTATTAGTGCAAGATCGCATGCTCTTCCAGGGAGCACCAGGCTCGAAACGTCCGTTCAGGTGTGTTCGAAACGAAGCGGTCCTTAAAACTACACTTTGGTATCAACACAATGCGTCCTCTGAATGGCAAGTATATCAGATGAGACATATTGATGAAAGGTCTGGTCTGGCCCGATGCATGTAGAGGTCTGATTGGACTGGCGCTATATATGTAAAAGTCTGATTTACCTGGCTCAGTATACAGGCCTGGACTGTCTCCATGGATGGATGTACGGGTTTCACGACTCACAAGCGTATGTGCAGCTGGTAGCCATACACACATATATAGCTAGGTCGTAGGTGAGGCCGCAGACAAGGAAACTGCATCAGGTAGGCCTATAGCCAGTCAGAGGGGCTAAGACTAAGACGAGGGCTGCCTATAAAATGTACATTCAGGATGAATGGACCACGTCCGTTCTTTTAACAACGGGAATGTCCAAAATTGTCCCATCCACCCGCGCTTTCGTACGCGTTCAGATGAACGGCAGCCCTCGCTCCCAGGTACTAAAGTATTGGGACAATGTTCAGGCAATTGCCTCCAGAGTCTCCGGATTGTGTGCGAGAGCTTGTTGTGAATTTCTGGAGTACTGGTGACTTCGAACAGCCTCGTTATGGTGACTGCAACTGTCCTGGTGATTCCCGGACCCGTGGAGGCGCCTCAGTACCGAGTTTACCTCAGTTGACTAGCAACAAGGGCGGCCCAGCGCCCGGTGTGCCAATGGGGCGGGCCTAGAGGGTGCGCATAGGGCACCCGGCAGTTTCAGATAACAGGCGAGGTGATTGGCGAAGCGTAAATGTGGTCAGTAGGGGAGGCTGGAGCCAGCGTGGTGTTGGCGCCGCCCGACCTGTCTAGCGAGACGTGGGCGTGGCGCCGTTCCGCCCGCGAGCAGTTCTCCACCTTGGGCGTGAGGGTGTGGGCGCCCGTGGCCAGAGCAGTGAGGTTGTATCGCGGGGAGGGGCGGCCGTTGAGGGGTGGCAGCCGGCCGGGCCCCAGGCTGGTGGGTCCACTTATGAGGGGCGGCTGCCGCCCCCCGCCCCGTTCGAGGGACCTGTGTCGACGAGGTGAGGGCGTTACCATCTCGTAGTGGTGGTGATCTGGGATGCCCTGTGAGGGTCGCGGTGACCCCAGCAAGCGGGCAGCCCTCGGGGCTGTCACCACACACCCATCGGGGGCAATGCGCTCCACTTCGGCAGCCTCGTCTCCGGGGACGTAGCCTACGTTCTCGAAACTAGCAGCCGGGGCCGGCCGGGGGCTGTGCGTGTCGAGCCGGGGCGTGAGGGTGCTGTAGCCAGCGCTGGCGTAGCTGACGCTGCTGTAGTCGGCGTAGTCGTAGGTGTTGTCGTGTGGCGGGAGGAGATCCAGACGCACAGGCTTCTGTTCCATCGGCTGGCAGTGGTCGACAGTATAGTGGTTGCCCTCTAGTGGCTTGATGCCCGCCCAGAGAGCCCGGGAGGTGCGGTTGTCCAGCTGGGGCACGGGCACGGGCACCAGCGACGGGGTTGGGTATAGCACAGCCTCACACCGCTCCAGCCCCAGCGCCTTCTCCTTCTTGGCCAGCGCAACATCGCTCAGTGGCTTCAGCTTCCCTCTGTAAACACAAAGTAGGTTGTTAGGCTTCATGGAACAGGTTTGGACGAAAATTAAGGCAGGTGTGGACCAAAGAATAGGCAAGTGGACAAAATATAAGGCGGGAGTAGACCAGAGATAAGGCGGGCGTAGACCAGAGATAAGGGAGGTGTGGATCCGGGATAAGGCAGGTGTGGAGAAGGCATAAAGCAGGTGTGGAGAAGGCATACAGCAGGTGTGGAGAAGGCATACAGCAGGTGTGGAGAAGGCATACAGCAGGTGTGGGCCAGAGAGAATGGCAGGCTTCGACCAGAAGTAAGAGGAACATTGTCTTTAGCTGTGCTTGGCCTGACAACGGGGGCTCTTAACACTATTAATAATTATGCCAGCATTAAATATTTAGTGTATAAGTTCAACACATGAGTGAAAAACAGTATTAGTTTCATACAATATCTAACCGACTTAAATGTGAAATTTGAAGCCTCTTTTAATATACTTAATATCGTCTATTCTGTTGTTCTAACTATGTAAAACTCGCTTTAGGAGAAAATAAAGTCCCAAAACTCACATATGCACTACATGACCATACACGCTAACGCACACTAAATAGCCAAACACACACACACACACACGCACATACATGATGTGGTGGAGGCTGACCCCATACACAATTTCAAGTGTAGATATAATAAAAGCCCAGTAGGCTCAGGAACCTGTACACCAGTTGATTGACGGTTGAGAGGCAGGACCAAAGAGCTACACACACACACACACTCGTCGCTCCTATTATTAATATTATAGATATAAACAAAAGCAGTACCAACAACAACACTAAAGTTAGCAAATTATATTCAGGTCGTTAACCATGTTATTACAATGAAAAACTGTAACCAGTACATGTTTATAGGCCTATGTAAACAAATATAACCTCGTCGCTGATTAGCCGAATGTTATGAAACTGAAATGCGTGGGGAGGGGGGAAGGGGAGTGTTATGTGGGCGTTGTGGCCATATTTAGGTGTGGGTGACATCAGTTGTCAGCTTGATGTCGTATGGGTGATTACTCGGTAACTTGTGGAGGCAGACATATCATTGTCTAAGAGTTTCCGGATCGATCCCCGGGCCAGGGGCGCCGGTCCGGACAAAGTCAGTGGTACCAAATCCCGGGGAAATTCCACCCAGAACACTATTTTCGAAACTAGCGCCGTATTTTCTTGGGCGAAGCCGTCGTCCTCCCAAGCATCTCATTAGGTGTGTGTTGGGTGGTGGGCGTCGTAGCTGGGCGAGAGAGGATTATAGGGGCGATAAGTAGACTCCGGAGGTAGTTAATTAAAGGTGGCTCTTATCTGGCGGGTGTGTGTACCTGGTATTATGGGAGGCCCATGTTTCTTTATCACCTGTCTGACTAATGATGCCTGTCTCTGTCTCTCTCTGTCTCTCTGTCTCTCTGTCTCTGTCTCTCTGTCTCTCTGTCTCTCTCTCTCTGTCTCTCTCTCTGTCTGTCTCTCTGTCTCTCTGTCTCTCTGTCTCTCTGTCTCTCTCTCTCTGGCTCTCTCTCTCTCTCTCTCTCTCTCTCTCTCTCTCTCTCTCTCTCTCTCCTCTTTGTTGAATCACAGCTCATCACCACCAGAAAACCACGACAATAATTAGTTCATTGTCGACGGTGTTTGTGGTGGCGGGGTTCACTCTCCACTTATGTCAGGGGTCTTCAAGTGACCGTCTTCACACTTACGACCAGGTCTTCAAGCGACCAAGCCTGGCCTGGCTTACTTCCACAAACACGCACGGAGAAGAGTAGAGAAGAGAAGAGAAGAGAAGAGAAGAGAGGAGAAGAGAAGGGTGCTGGAAGATGTCGTTTATCCCTCCCTGGTCTGGGATGTTCGGTCTGATTGTTGTTTAGACAATAGTAATTACCAGAACACGACTCGTCTTACGGTAGAGGCCAGAGTTACGTCGCTTATAGCAATGATAGGAAACGAGTGTGCCGTCTGTGGAAGGTTTCTCGTCACTCGTAAATGATTTTCCTTTAGGCATCGGTGTCGAATGATGCATTATTTTGGTAGGTTCGCGTCAGGTAACAGAGACCCAACCACAACTGTTAATTCGTGTAACAGTTAACTATGGCAGGATAAATGAACAATAACTACTGATGCCAGAAGTGATTAATCTTTCACCAGTCGATCATTCATCGTAACTCATAAATATTCCGCTCTCCGGGATGCTGTTCACACCTTCAATATACCAGAAACTTATGAACAAATCCACAAGGCCCGTGACGAGGATTCGAACCTGCGTCCAAGAGCATCCCAGACGCTGCCTTAATCGACCGAGCACCAGAAACTTGCACAGTTCCTTCACCCTGTCGGCTGAAGGAACATATATATTCCAGCTCCTTGTCCTCATATAACTTTCAAATGCTACATAGTGCCACTGGTTTAGCGCTTTCCCCTGATAACTAATTTCTCAAATGCGTCTACCATTCGGTCATTCCCTCGTTCCAACTAACCATTGAGACCTATCTTCCACCACCACCATCTTACAGCGCCCCCTGTCACTCTTAAACAAGGGATTGACATGCTACCGTCTCTAGCTCTCATTCTGCTCTAAATATAAAGCATGTTTACTCTTAACATTGGTTGAGGCTTTCATTCAGAACTCTTCACTCTCTCTCTTTCTCTCTAGCTGTGACACGAGGCTCAACACACAAGGAGGAGCTAGCGAGGCACGAGAACCAGGTACCAGATTCACGAAAGCACTTACGCAAGCACTTACGAACTTTTACATCTTTTCTCAATCTTTGGCGGCTTTGTTTACAATTATTAAACAGTTAATGAGCTCCGAAGCACCAGGAGGCTGTTTATAACAATACCAACAGTTGAATGGGAAGTTTTCATGCTTGTAAACTGTTTAATAAATGTAACCAAAGCCGTCAAAGATTGAGGAAAGATGTACACGTTCGTAAGTGCTTGCGTGAATCTGGCCCCAGGAAGGCTCCTGAGGGAGACACTCACTCTCTGTACTTGAGGAAGGCGATGGCGAGGATGATCCCCAGCAGGGTGGCGGCGACGCAGGAGGAGATGATCACCAGGAACCAGGTGTCGTCGATGAGCGGACCTGTAGAAGGTGGAGACTGAGCGTTAGTGTACCGAAGAACAGCTCGCATCATGCTAACTTCATCAATGATATAACAAGAAGTAGTTATAATAACAAAATAGCACCTAATTCTTGCAAATATAATCGCGACGTGTTCCGCAATGAATAAAAAATACAGTTTTGTTAAGTGATTGTGGCAATTATATAGACATTATAGAAGGCAGGATTTTGCAGATTTTGTTTAAAGTATACCCCGAAAACAGTATACATGACAAGTATAATTATACATGATGATGTCAAACACATAATTCAATTAGGTGCTCCTGAATACCGTCGAGATTGCATGACTGATTAATTATCTCGTGATGTCACGAGGAGACATTTGAACTGTTCATTAAACTGTTCAGCAGAGTCCTGTCAACACCGTCAGGAGGGACGGGACGCAGAGGTCACACCGTCACTCCGGATAAAACGACGGAAAGGTGAGTGATATCACTGGGGAGAGACTCCTGTATAACTCAGTAGTGACTGACCTTCCTCCACACACCTTAACACACCATCTTCATCAAGGGCAGTCCTGGTGACCCCCTACCGTCGACCCCACCCCTCTTGACCCCTACCGTCTTGACCCCCACCGTCGTCCCCACCCTCTTGACCCCCACCGTCCTCTCGTGGGCCCCTGATAACGTCCTCTCGTGGGCCCTTGATAACCACTCTGTGTCGTCAAATTTGCCCAGATATCCACCGCCATCGTCCCATTCACATGAGCTGGGCGAGTGGACACACACACACACACACACACACACACACACACACACACACACACACACACACACACACACACACACACACACACACACACACACACACACACACACACACACACACACACACACACACACACACACACACACACACCCGGCCTAGTTTTTACACACTGCGGGCAAACTTAGCCTCCCCTCAAAGGAGAGACGATGAATACGATTAGTATTCAGTCCGGCGGTCGGTTAAAGTTGTACACAAATAAGATTACTGGCTCAACCGACCCTCGCGGCGTACCAATGAAAATGGGAATCGGCGTTTCTATTATCGTCGCGACGTTTACTATTGGTAAGTCTAGGCGGGTACGGAGGCGTATTGTGGAGCACGGGGGATGGGCCACACGCCGCCCACGGTAGGTATGTGGGCGGGCAGGGGTGTGCTTTGGTGGCCAGGGGAGTGTGCTGTGGCGGGCAGGGGTGTGCTGTGGCGGGCAGGGGTGTGCTGTGGTGGCCAGAAATTAAGCACCACGTTGCCCAAATTACGTGTCGGCATGATTTTCGATTCCCAACTACCACCTCCTCCTTCTTCTTCTTCTCTTCCTCTCTCCTGTTCCACCCACCCCACCTCCCACCTCCCAATCGTCATCCAACATAACAATTGCTATGACACACACACACACACATGGCTATCAACTAGTCGAATGATATCAACGCCATTTTTGGTCGATATCATGTCCTAAACTCGAGGGAAAACTCGAAGTAAAAAATACCGGTAAACTCTTGGTAAAACGAGAGTAAACTCAACATGACAAACGCCTCACAAGTTCGGGGGTATAATCAGGAAAATCTAATTAAACCTAATATAAACTGAGTGTAAACCGGGTAAACCAGGTCAAATCGGGTTAACTATACCGAAAAAATGTGTAAACTCGATAAATTTTGCGAGAACGCTTTAGGTAAACTTTTAAGAAAATCTCTATGAGCCCCTGGGGAGTGTGAAGGGTCCAGAATAGGAAGTCACAGGACCTTGGATGTCACAGGACCATGGATGTCACAGGACCTTGGATGTCACGGGACCTTGGATGTCACGGGACCTTGGATGTCACGGGATCTTGGATGTCACGGGATCTTGGATGTCACGAGACCTTGGATGTCACGGGACCTTGGATGTCACAGGACCTTGGATGTCACAGGACCATGGATGTCACAGGACCTTGGATGTCACAGGACCTTGGATGTCACAGGACCTTGGATGTCACAGGACCTTGGATGTCACAGGACCATGGATGTCACAGGACCTTGGATGTCACAGGACCTTGGATGTCACAGGACCTTGGATGTCACAGGACCTTGGATGTCACAGGACCTTGGATGTCACAGGACCATGGATGTCACAGGACCTTGGATGTCACAGGACCTTGGATGTCACAGGACCTTGGATGTCACAGGACCTTGGATGTCACAGGACCTTGGATGTCACAGGACCATGGATGTCACAGGACCTTGGATGTCACAGGACCTTGGATGTTACAGGACCTTGGATGTTACAGGACCTTGGATGTTACAGGACCTTGGATGTCACAGGACCATGGATGTCACAGGACCTTGGATGTCACAGGACCTTGGATGTTACAGGACCTTGGATGTTACAGGACCTTGGATGTTACAGGACCTTGGAAGTCACAGTACCTTGGATGTCACAGGACCATGGATGTCACAGGACCATGGATGTCACAGGACCATGGATGTCACAGGACCTTGGATGTCACAGGACCATGGATGTCACAGGACCTTGGATGTCACAGGACCTTGGATGTCACAGGACCTTGGATGTTACAGGACCTTGGATGTTACAGGACCATGGATGTCACAGGACCTTGGATGTTACAGGACCATGGGTGTCACAGGACCTTGGATGTCACAGGACCTTGGATGTCACAGGACCTTGGATGTCACAGGACCTAGGACGTCACAGGACCTAGGACGTCACAGGACCTAGGACGTCACAGGACCTAGGACGTCACAGGACCTTGGATGTCACAGGACCTAGGACGTCACGGGACCTTGGATGTCACAGGACCATGGATGTCACAGGACCATGGATGTCACAGGACCTTGGATGTCACAGGACCTAGGACGTCACAGGACCATGGATGTCACAGGTCCTTGGATGTCACAGGACCTTGGATGTCACAGGACGGCAACATCGCCCCGGACTGGAACTGCTTCTGATGCCAAAAAGCGCTGCAGGGGGAGAGAGATGGAAGGGGCATGGGGTGGAAAACCAATGAATAGGGGGAATGGAAATGGGTGGGAGAGAGAGAGGGAGGGAAGGAGAGGCGTTGTAGAATGCCGGAGTGATTGATAGGGGCGGACGCAGCGTGAATAAGGCGGCGCTGGACATATGGGAAGGGAGTGAGGTAGGGATGGGAAGGGTAGGCTCTTTGGTGATGGGAGTGGAGAGAAAAGGAACACAAAAAAGGGCAATATTCACAGAATAAAGGAAGGTAGTTTTCATCAATTAGCTTTAAAAAATAATACAGCTTTGAAAATGAAGTTGTGATGTTTATGTAAACACTTAGTAAACACAATAGCACATGAGAGGCATCATTTTAGAAATACATTTTAGAAACAGTCCGGTTTCACTGCTCATTCAACAAGAATTTAAGCTAGCACGCACACACACACACGCGCGCGCGCGCAAGGACATACACATGATCAAAGAGAACATTAATGGAAACAAATTGCGCAAATGAGCCGCAGGGACACCAATAATTTGTGCAGTGCTAGAAAATGAGCAAATAATATGCGCTAAGCAGTGAAGTGGTGGAGTCACATCCCCCCCCCCGTACACGGAGTTTTAAAGGCAGATCTAACAGAGCCCAATAGGCTCTGGAACCTATGCACCAGTCGGTTATTTCGCGTTAAGGAGCGAGACCTAAGACCCCTGGTTCATCCCTGTGAACCCTATAGGTGAGTATAGACGAGCGTGGAACCTTGAGCGTACCTAAAGCAAGGTTGGTATGAGGATAGAGAGACCTGGGGCCAGATACACGAAGTAGTTACGTAAGTACTTACGAACGTGTACATCTTAACTCAATCTTTGACGGCTTTGGTTATATTTATTAAACAGTTTACAAGCATGAAAACGATCCAATCAACTGTTGTTATTGTTATAAACAGCCTCCTGGTGCTTCGGAGCTCATTAACTGTTTAATAATTGTAAACAAAGCCGCCAAAGATTGAGAAAAGATGTACAGATTCGTAAGTGCTTTCGTAACTGCTTCGTGAATCTGGCCCCTGGCCCGCACAGACCTCGCAGAGACTCGGAATAGAAGAGACATAAATGCATTTCTATAGTCGATCCAGAAGGCGTGTTCTGTACAATCACTCCATCAGAGAAGTACAGTACGTGTTTGGTACAATCATTCCATCCCAGGAGTAAAATTATTTGGTATAGTAATTCCATCCATTATCGTGTTCTTAAAGATACTCTCGCAATCTCATTCAGTGTATCGTAATCACTCTTGACACAAATAAAAAGAAAGAGTTTTGCAACTTATTTATTTATTTATGCATATACAAGAAGGTACATTGGGATTGTGAGGGATACATAATATGGTAATTACAATCTTGTAAAGCCACTAGTACGCGCAGCGTTTCGGGCAGAACTCTTTATATAGTTTACAGAATGCGTATAAATGTGTATGTACCTGGGTTAAATTACGTTCATAACAGAAATGTACTGTCTCCTACTTACCCAGCTGCACGGCCTAGTACTCACCCACCTCCACACTGACCTCTGCTCACCCACCTCCACACTGACCTCTGGCCCCACCACACACCAACACTATTCACTAGCCATGTCCTCAGTTGGGTGGTGTGGAGCAAGATTAGTAACTGTGTAACCGGCTCATCATAGATGTAAACTGCCGTCTATAGAGACCTTTGTGAGTTTCTTGGTGAATCAATCACTTCAGATAATAAAGGACTAGGTATATATATATATATATATATATATATATATATATAGAGAGAGAGAGAGAGAGAGAGAGAGAGAGAGAGAGAGAGAGAGAGAGAGAGAGAGAGAGAGAGAGAGAGAGAGAGAGAGAGAGAGAGAGAGAGAGAAAGAGAGAGAGAGAGAGAGAGAGAGAGAGAGAGAGAGAGAGAGAGTGTGTGTGTACTCACCTATTTGTACTTGCGGGGGTTGAGCTCTTTGGTCCCGCCTCTCAACTGTCAATCAACTGGTGTACAGGTTCCTGAGCCTACTGTGCTCTATCATATCTACATTTGAAACTGTGTATGGAGTCAGCCTCCACCACATCACTGCCTAATGCATTCCATCTGTTAACTACTCTGAAAAAGTTCTTTCTAACGTCCCTATGGCTCATTTGGGTACTCAGTTTCCACCTGTGTCCCCTTGTTCGCGTGCCTCCCGTGTTAAACAGTTTATATTTATCTACCCTGTCAGATCCTCAGAAACTTTGTAGGTATTGATCATGTCTCACCTAACTCTTCTGTCTTCCAGTGTCGTGAGGTTCAGTTCCAGTCAACTTTCCTCATAGCCCATTCCTCTCAGCTCGGGGACTAGGCTAGCGGCATACCTCTGAACCTTTTCTAACTTCGTTTTGTGTTTGACTAGATGTGAACTCCACGCTAGAGCCGCATATTCCAGCATTGGTCTGACATAAGAGGGCATACAAGATTCTGAATGATCCCTGATTGTGTGTGTGTATACATGTGCATGAGTATGTAATATTAACAATTGTGTAACTAAGTTCATAAGATTGTCACTTGTTTAACTAAACGAACTATGGGTAGGTTACTCTGTAACTCTTCCCACCACCGCCCACAGGATGGGTATGGGATACAATAATAAGGTGAAATGAAAGATTATCCATAGATTACAGCCATGAACTATCCCGGATGGCAACTGTGGTGGTGTTGGGGGGGAGGCGCGGCCGGGCCCTCCGTGGCGCAGGTCAGCAGACTGTGCCACCCACAGTCCTGCCCCCAGGGGAAAGCCAGTGTCCGAGGCGGCCACCAGGGTAGGTAAAGGTTTAGTGGTGGTCCCCCTGAGGAACTATGGGTACCGTGGTGGTCCCCAGTGAGGTTGGGGCATCGTGGTGGTCCCCAGTGAGGTTGGGGCACCGTGGTGGTCCCCAGTGAGGTTGGGGCACCGTGGTGGTCCCCAGTGAGGTTGGGGCACCGTGGTCGTCCCCAGTGAGGTTGGGGCACCGTGGTGGTCCCCAGTGAGGTTGGGGTACCGTGGTGGTCCCCAGTGAGGTTGGGGCACCGTGGTGGTCCCAGTGAGGTTGGGGCACCGTGGTGGTCCCCAGTGAGGTTGGGGCACCGTGGTGGTCCCCAGGGACCATGGGTGGGGACCATGGCGGCTCCACAAGGAGGGGAGGTTTATGGTCCCTCCAGGATGAGGTGCAATGGAGGTTGCAGGGATGGGGAGGATTTTTTTTATCTCCAAATATACAGTAACATATTTATTTTTAATCATTATGCTAATACTGATAATAAATAATAATAATAATTGATATTATTACATTGGCTTTTATGTAAGCAATTGTCTGTTTATTTATATATTTGTCTAATTAATTTTTAAACTTTTTTATTTAGGATATCGTATCCTAAATCCTGTCTGAGTGTTCACTTAAGGGCCAACTGCGTGTGAGTGGAAGGGAACAAATGAGCGGGTTGGTGACGGGCCATCAATGGTGTCCAAGAAATGTGTGAGTACTTCATTCATAATGATGTGCTGCCCGAAATCTTAGCGAAGTATCCAAAAATTTGCTTACTGTAGGTAATGCATGCACATGACTGTAAAGCTGCCGCCCAGTTGGGTGGGTGTGGAGCACATGACTGTAAAGCTGCCGCCCAGTTGGGTGGGTGTGGAGCACATGACTGTAAAGCTGCCGCCCAGTCGGGTGGGTGTGGAGCACATGACTGTAAAGCTGCCGCCCAGTTGGGTGGGTGTGGAGCACATGACTGTAAAGCTGCCCGCCCAGTTGGGTGGGTGTGGAGCACATGACTGCACATGACTGTAAAGTTGCCGCCCAGTTGGGTGGGTGTGGAGCACATGACTGTAAAGTTGCCGTCCAGTTGGGTGGGTGTGGAGCACATGACTGTAAAGTTGCCGCCCAGTTGGGTGGGTGTGGAGCACATGACTGTAAAGTTGCCGCCCAGTTGGGTGGGTGTGGAGCACATGACTGTAAAGCTGCCGCCCAGTTGGGTGGGTGTGGAGCACATGACTGTAAAGCTGCCGCCCAGTTGGGTGGGTGTGGAGCACATGACTGTAAAGTTGCCGCCCAGTTGGGTGGGTGTGGAGCACATGACTGTAAAGCTGCCGCCCAGTTGGGTGGGTGTGGAGCACATGACTGTAAAGCTGCCGCCCAGTTGGGTGGGTGTGGAGCACATGACTGTAAAGTTGCCGTTGGGTGGGTGTGGAGCACATGACTGTAAAGCTGCCGCCCAGTTGGGTGGGAGCACATGACTGTAAAGCTGCCGCCCAGTTGGGTGGGTGTGGAGCACATGACTGTAAAGTTGCCGCCCAGTTGGGTGGGTGTGGAGCACATGACTGTAAAGCTGCCGCCCAGTTGGGTGGGTGTGGAGCACATGACTGTAAAGCTGCCGCCCAGTTGGGTGGGTGTGGAGCACATGACTGTAAAGCTGCCGCCCAGTTGGGTGGGTGTGGAGCACATGACTGTAAAGCTGCCGCCCAGTTGGGTGGGTGTGGAGCAAGACTAGTAACTGTGTGACTCACCATAGATGTAAAGTACCTTGTATAGTGACTGTGGTGAGCCTCTTGTTGAATCACTTGTGATATAAAAAGATTGTCGAAGTGTGTATTTGTGTGGGTGATAAATATGTATGTGTAGTATATATGTATTTGTGTAAATGATTGTATATATATGTACATGTATAAATAAAATTAGCAATTGTTTAACTAGCGTCACAAGATTGCCACTTCCTTAGCTAAACGAACTCTGG